GAATTAAAGCAGCGGGAGCAAACGCTTGCCTCGGGGAGGGAGAAAAAAAGCCACAGCGGAGAATAAACAGAAGGGTAACCATGGTAACCATGCGCGGGAAGTCTTCTTCGCTGCTTTTGTGACAGACTACAGCGCCACTTACAGGCCTGGCATATGTACTACAGCGTCTCCAGCGCTTTCGAGCGGCAATGGCCGGCCGTGGCCCAACCCCACATTCCCCTGATAGGTGGAGAGTTGGCCCAATAGCCGTAGCGCCACCGTCCTGACGTCAGGACAGTGTTCAAATCTGGATCAGTTTTTATCAGATCCGTTGCAGCCCCTTTTTTTAGAGATTTGGGTATGGAGGAAAATAGAGAGGGTTGTGTTTTCTGACACTTGGTGAGTTCCCTGGAACACCGGGGACACATATTCATGTATAAAAGACGTATAAAAGTGCATTTTGCATGATAGGTCCCCTTTAAGTAAGGTTTTCAATGCAGGACTACGGTGGCCCTGAAGTGCAAGTCAAAACAGCATTTCAGGAAACACCACAGCATTTCACAAAATGCTACAGCATTTCACAAAACTGCAGCATTTCACAAAACGCCACAGCATTTGAGAAAACGCCACTGCATTTCAGAAAACACCACAGCATTTCAACTTATACGGAAAGGGTATTCCAAGTTTAGGGAGAACACTTCTTGTTTGTGATTGGACAGAGCCAGCCAGAGAAGCACTGCTGTGATTGGTTGTTTTTGCTGCCAGTCAAGAAATGATCAAATCAAATCAAATCAGGTTTTATTTATAAAGCACATTTAAAAGCGATTTTTGGTCGAGCCAAAGTGCTGTACATGTAATAAAAACACATTACTACAATCACAATAAAAGACAATAAATTACAACAGATATATATAAAAAATAAAAATAAAACACAAGGAAAAGTCAGGAGTCGTACTCCGCTCTAACTAGAAGGCCAGAGAGAAGAAGTGTGTTTTTAGTGTAGATTTAAAAACCCCTAGGGTCTGGGCCGACCTCACATGGAGGGGCAGAGTGTTCCAGAGCCTAGGGTTAGCTGCTGCGAAGGCTCGGTGCCCTCGGGTTTTAAGCCTGGTCTTGGGCACTACCAGCAGCAGCTGGTCAGCAGACCTTAAAGCTCTGGCTGGGGTGTAGCGCTGGAGGAGTTCAGCTATATAGGCCGGAGCCAGCCCATTTAGTGCTTTAAAAACAAATAAAAGGATTTTAAAATCAATTCTGAACCGAACTGGAAGCCAGAATAGGGGTGATGTGGTCACGCTTTTGTGGCCAGTCAGCAAACGTGCAGCTGCGTTTTGGACTAGCTCCAGGCGTTTAATTGAGGCCTGGTCCATACCCACATACAGAGCGTTGTAATAGTCCAGTCATTGAGGTAACAAAGGCGTTAATAACCCTTTCTAAGTCATTAAAAGATAAATACGACTTGGTTTTGGCCAATAGTCTTATTTTAAAAAAGCAGGATTTGACTACAGTGCTGACCTGCTTGTCGAATTTAAAAGTGCTAGTGAAGGTCACTCCAAGGTTCATGACAGAGGGGAGGATGTTTTTATTGAGGGAGCCCAGAATATCAACCGGAGAGGCTGGAGGTTGGGGTCCAAAAAAGATGACCTCAGTCTTGCTCTCGTTGAGGTTGAGAAAGTTTTTGCTCAGCCAGGATTTTATCTCTGTTAAGCAGTCCATCAACTGCTGTAGTGAGTGTTTGACATTTGCTTTTAGAGGCAGATATATCTGTACATCGTCGGCGTAGCAGTGGAAGGGAATATTATGTTTTGTGAGAATTGAACCTCGGGGCAGTATGTACAGTAGAAAAAGGATGGGGCCCAGAATCGATGATGCTTCGTGATTGGTCAGCACCCGACAGCGCAACATGTCCCGAAACATCAGCCGTTAGCTGTTAGCACACAGAGCTCACAGCTCCTCATATCTGTTCAGAAACTGGACAAAAGTTAAACATGAACAAAATACAGACTGTCTGTGTCCTGGCGAATACAATCACTGCTTTATTTATGTCTATATGCCGTTGTTGTGAGTTTGGACGGAGCAGCTACACGTTGGTTTATCCTGATCGATCCGATCTCCATTCAGAAAACATTTAAAAAGGTTTTTCATCTGCCGTCTTGTCTGCAGACTTGTCACAGCATTAATTCATGATTTTTACTAACCGGTATCAGTATGTTGTTACTTAGGCATCATTTTGAAACGTGTATTACAATTAAATCACGGTAAAATATGTTCATTTTGTTGTAGTTGGTATCTACCAAAGTATTTGCATGGATATAAGCCCCGCCCCCTCTCCTGCGCGTCTTGTTTGAATGACACAGCTGACAGCCGCGGTGAAACCTGAAACTCGAGCGATTAGAGCGATGCGAATATTCGGGGCTTATATCCATGTAAATACTATGGTAGATACCAACTACAACAAAATGAACATATTTTACCATGATTTAATTGTAATACACGTTTCAAAATGATGCCGAAGTAACAACATACTGATAGCCTACCAGTTAGCAAAAACCATGAATTAATGCTGTGACAAGTCTGCAGACAAGACGGCAGGCGAAAAACCTTTTTAAATGTTTTCTGGAGAATCGGATCGATCAGGATAAACTAACCTGTAGCTGCTCCGTCCAAACTCACAACAACGTATGTATTCACCATGACATAGACAGTCTGTGGTTTGTTCATGTTTAACTTTTGTCCAGTTTCTGAACAGATATGAGGAGCTGTGAGCTCTGTGTGCTAACAGCTAACGGCTGATGTTTCGGGACATGTTGCGCTGTCGGGTGCTGACCAATCACGAAGCATAATTTCTTGACTGGCAGCAAAAACAACCAATCACAGCAGTGATTGGCTGGCTGGCTCTGTCCAATCACAAACAAGAAGTGTTCTCCCTAAACTTGGAATACCCTTTCCGTATAAGTTGAAATGCAGTGGTGTTTTGTGAAATGCTGTGGTGTTTTGTGAAATGCAGTGGTGTTTTGTGAAATGCTGTGGTGTTTTGTGAAATGCTGTGGTGTTTTGTGAAATGCTGTGGTGTTTTGTGAAATGCTGTATCGTTTTCTGAAATGCTGTATCGTTTTCTGAAATGCTGTATCGTTTTCTGAAATGCTGTAGCGTTTCCTAAAATGCTGTTTTGACTTGCACTTCAGGGCCACCGTACAGGACTTTAATTTGTGGAAAAATATTGCTACTTTACTTAAAACATCTGAGTAGTACTTCCACCACGGCCTCCGATGCGAGGAATCCTAACACTCAGAAACATTATGAGACGTGGAGGAGGGCGTGGCATGCCTTCAGGGTCTGTGCACGAGACAGTGCGTCAATATTTATCACGGTCTCTGTGCTGGTGTCTGCACAGATCAGAGGTGGGAGAAGTACTCAGATCTTGTATTTCAGTAAAAGTGGAAGTACTCGGATCTTGTACTTGAGTAAAAGTAGAAGTACCAGAGTGTAGGAATAGATGAGAGTAACACCTACGTCACTTCCGGGCGAAAATTACGGCCCCGCCAACTTTTGGGGGGAAACAACGCTGTCATTTGAATGGTGGTCAATACAAATTCTGAAGTTTTTGCCAATCCGATCAGAAATTTAAGAAAACCGTGGATTTTTGGATCTTCAAAGAGCCCGATTACGATGGCCAGTCAGGCAAACAATTACATTAAATCATTTGAAATCGACAATCGGGCTCGATATATGGTTCTCCTGCCCTGCCGTGGTGCCCTTGAGCAAGGCACCGGACACCCCCTTCCGGCAGTGGCTCAGTCAGTAGGGGCTTGGACTGTGAGCCGTAGGGTCGCCGGTTCAAGTCCCCGAACAGACCTAAATATGGAGTGTAGACTGCTACTTGGAGAGGTCCCAGTTCACCTCCGCCCTGCCGTGGTGCCCTTGAGCAAGGCACCGGACACCCCCCACCCCCCTCACTCCCATTGCTCCCCGGGCGCTGTACACTAGCTGCCCACTAGCTGCCCACTAGCTGCCCACTGCTCCTGGTACTAAGATGGGTTAAAAGCAGAGGCCAAATGTCACTGTGTGCTGTGTGCTCTGCATGTGTGACCATTAAAGAGAGTTTCATCCCTCCCAATTCAAGTCCTGCATTCAAAATGTTACTCAGTAAAAGTAGAAAAGTATTAGCATCATCAGAATATACTTGAAGTACCAAAAGTAAAATTAGTCATTGTGCAGATTGGTCCATTTCAGAATAATATATATGATATGTTTTATAATAATTGATCATGAAAGTGTTCTCAAAGCTGGTAGAGGTGCAGCTAGTTTGAATGACTTTGTATACTGCAGGGTAGCTTGTGAATTTACTCCAGGTGTAACTAAAGTCTGATTTAACACTTGATTATATTTCACATCATTCATCCAAATCTGTAAAGTAACTAAAGGGATTAAATACATGTAGTGGAGTACAAGTACACCATTTACCTCTGAACTGTAGTGGAGTGGAAGTACAGAGTAGCAGAAAATTGAAATCCTCAAGTAAAGTACAAGCACCTTAAAATTGTACTTTACAGGATTTGAGTAAATCTACTAGTTACTCTACACCCCTGGCAGAGATGAATCTGGAGGGCTGATCTGGTTTATTAAACAGCCATAGTGCCACTGTTTCCTGTTTCCATTGGCTCTGCATGCAGGACATTTAAATGAAGGGAGGCACATTTTCCTTATTTTTCCAGAGCCTTGGCAGACAAACAGCACACTGCTGATTCATGAAGAAACTCTGCTCAGTGGACTTTGTCCTCCCTACCTGAACACGTAGGAACCTGCCCATTAAACCACAAGCAGTCAAGTTCAAGTTCACACTGCACTAAAGGGAAGACTTACAAATGGAAAGGGAACGCTTGAATGATATCAACAGTTAATTTCTTAGAGGAAATCCTTTTTAAGTGCAAACACAAGCATCCTTATTATCATTGCTGCTCCTGTCGACCAATCAGAGCCCTCTCTCCTCCTCAGACAGACCCACCCCCTCTCTTCTCCTCCTCCTGCTTCTTTACTACACATTAAAACATAAAGACACTCACTCCCACACTAACCTCCATCCGACTGTGTGCTTCTCTCTCCTGTCTGATTCTTTTCGCAAACGGTGAGTTTTTCCACTCGACTTGCACTCGCACCTTGTTTTCCTTGACTTTGATTAATCGCATGCGCTTTAGTAAACGTGCAGAGTTGTGTAGATCGAGTTGATTTGATGTGTTTTGTGCACGATTCAGTTCAGGATTTAAAAAACAAGTTCGGAAGGATTTCTCCAGATGTGTAAAAGTTTCCGTTCATTTCTCTCCTCTGAGTCACAGCAGCTGGAGAAAGCTGCCGGACACAGAGGAGGCAGAACCAATCCGTTTATCGTGGAAACATTAGTTATGGAGTTATTGCATTGCTTTTTATGATGACATCAATGTATTTTTTATTAACTGTAAGTGAGACAGCGTAAAATCCTGCAACAGAAGTGCAGGAAGTACTTGTTTGGATGTTATGTAATAGTGAAAAAAATATAAAAGCAGTCAAATACTACTTTTACAATTATTGTAGTCCTTTTTTCTTTTGGAGGAAGTGATATTTTGTGTCATGTTGAAATAGTGATTGTAGTGTATTCATATCCCCACCCATTCAGTACAAATGAAATGTATACGAAAACAATATTACTTGATAGATTTAACCCTAACCCTTCTAAAATAATAATAAAAGCAATAATAAATAACAATTAAACAAAAAAAGTACAAGATAACTTTAATTATGAGCATCAGAAGCAGAAAATGTAATACTTTTAATTAAACACAGTCTTCCCTGCAGTATTGAGATCAGTATTAAGATCAGTATGAAGTCACAGTAGTGTTATTACCGTGTTATAAAGAGTGCATCCTCATCATTTATCTGAGGGTGTGTCCATGATGCAGCATTTATCGATCAGCCTCTTACAGGAAGTGCACTCTGTTTCCTCTGCACTGAAACATGAGCCGCTCTGTAAACACACATCTGAACACACTCCAGTTAACACAACTCCTCTGGTGGTGTGTGTGTGGATTACCTGTGTGTGTGTGTGTGTGTGTGTGTGTGTGTGTGTGTGTGTGTGTGTGTGTGTGTGTGTGTGCGTGTGTGTGTGTGTAAACACCACAGCGTGCACAAGGAGCAGGTGTAGGCTGTAGTTAGTGTGGATCAGAGTGAAGTATGGAGTGTAAACTGTAATAAAGGATTGAGGCGTGGTGTGTCATCTCAGAGGACGTCAGTACCCATAATCCTGCTGCCACACTGATTTGTAATCTGGCTCTTGTGTAATCGGGGAAACCGGTATAATCCCTCTCTGTTATCCTGATATGAAGTTTATTTCTTTCAAATTGAACTTCCTTTGACTTCCAATACCAGACACTGAAGCTGGGCCACGGTATTTATTTATTGAAGCGGAGTTTAGTTCTGTTTTTACGCCATATCAGCAATAAAAACTCAAGATATGGGAGTAAGGAAACCAGGCCAAGTCTGTGGTGTTGATATCTGCGTCTGATTGACAGATGATGGATCTGATGATGGTTCAAAGTTCCTGCATCAATCAGCTTATGGTTATCTTTACAGACTTTAGTTTAGACCGTTTGGTGGGGTTTGCATTCTCTATTTTTAGAAGTGAAGATATTATCAAAAGCTTTAGTCTTTCTGGCACTTGTGACAATTAATATGACTTTAAATCGAACAGGAACCAAGAACGTCAAAGCAAGTCTTTAGCCTTTTTTGTGAAAATCCTGCAATATACAGTAACAAGCTTTTTGGCAATGCATTTTGGAGAATACCTAACATTTTATACTGTAAAAGAGAATTGAATCCTTCAGGTTATGTGCAAACTAAAAAAGAAAGTGATTTCTACCTGTCACATTCACATGTCTATTGCACTTCACCCAAATGACTAATGCATGTGAACGTACTAATGTGACAGCTGCAGCCATACACAGGTTTAAACTAGTTTGCCTGGTTCAGTCTATACACTGAAAGCCAAATATGGTGATTGCTTCCTGTCAACATAACCCATGTATTTATAACCACCGCAGGTCGGTGTTTTAGCTGCTGCATTCAGTTCAGGAAACACATCTTGATGAAAAAAATGACTTCTTCTCATTTTGTTATTTTAATTGTTGGCCGCATCCTGTTCAGTTCAGGGTTTTGCAAGGCAAAAATATTAAAATCCCTCCCTGCTCTTTCCATCTTCCTCTAGCCTCCACATTGACTCTCTTCCTTCTTCTTCTCCCTCTCCTCAGAGCCGTCATGGTGTGCCATAAGGAGTTTGCTGCTGCAGGGAAGCAGCCCGGCCTGCAGGTGTGGCGGATCGAGAACCTGGACTTGAAGCCGGTCCCCAAAGCTCTGCACGGCAGCTTCTTCACCGGGGATGCCTACCTGCTGCTCTTCACCACCTCCGCCCCCTCATACAACATACACATGTGGCTGGGTAAGACAGCGATACACACTGTGCACATAAGTACATGTTAATAAGTTAATCAAAGTATGTAAAATATTCTTCCTCTTTCTTAACAACATTATCATAGTCAAATCTGCATTTGCATCTTGCTTCACAAAAAGGATGTTGTCATGCTGTTTTCAATACAGGAACAGCATTGCATTGCATGTTTGCGCCTTCATTTGAGTGAGGACACAGTAGAAGGAGGTGAGATAGAATGAAAGAGAAAGGGGGGGGGGGGGGGGGAGAGGCTTGGAGGTTATACCATGCAACAAAGGTCCCAAGGTTTTGTTGGCGTCAATACACTGGGTAGCAGAAGCCATTTTACTGCATTTCCCACAATGCTATGCTTGGGGGTTTTCTCCTGTTATTCTCTTATTTCATAAAATGTTTTATAGTTAACAACTGTTATCTTATAGTTTCACCACTTCTCTAAGTGGTTATGTGATGTCTTAAGGTTTCTGCCAATTTCTCTTTGTATGTGAACTAAATGGCAATACTTATTGGATCTTGTGGTAAAGTTGTCAGTAACATTTAAAGGGTTCCTTCAAGGTTGCTACTTATGCTTATTATGTGTTTGCGGTTTCTATAAAAACATGTTTCCATATCTTACACAAAAAAAACCCCATTATCGTTGAATACTGTCTGCCTAAATATACTTGTATCCACCGTATGTCCTAAATGCTCAGTTTTAGCGCGTGTATCTTTAAAACCACTCCCGAAAATAATTTACTTTCACAGTGTTTATATAGCACATAGACCTGCTTTATATATAACTGTCCCCAAAGCTGATAAACAAGTGGTACGTGACCATACAATACACACACTCTAAACTGTTTTAGATCTTATGTGGTCGCTACACTATAGCTGGGCTCTCGAAATGAGGACAGATCAGATAAGGCATCTGATCTCACTTCTGAAACATCCTCTGCTGTATGTGGCGGAAAATGTCTTCTCACAAAGTCATACCACTTTGTGAAATTCTTCCACCCCCCACTCTACGCCCTCTCTGTACTGTCTACTCTCATGGAGGTTTAATTCAGGCGGGACAGAGCAAACTATGACATGCAACTTCAAATCCTTTGTGGAAAGTAACGTTTTCTCATGCTCTCTACTTTTCCTGCTACAAACCAATAACAGAGACTTAAATGAAACTGCTGCATAACTCCTGTGTGCCAAAAGAGACCAGTTGGGGGTGTTCCTGCCAATTTTCCTGCAGAGTCAGAACAGGGACAGTACTTTCTGTTCTCCACTCCCAGTGCAACCCTCTGTAAACGTGGAGGTAGAAATAACATGAGGACATAATTAATCCCTTGTCTGGGATCGATGTTAGTCATGTGGGATCATGGAATAGTTGAATCCCTGGTGAGTGCCATCTGACGGTTATAGCCGTATATAAGCTGCAGATGTGGTTTATGTGGTAGAAGCCTCCAGTCCTGACTCAGGAAATCAGAAACTTAAGTGCTACAGTAGTGTTGATGTAAAATATCTCAAAGCTATTGTACAAACTAGATCCTTAAGCATCTGTGTGATAAAAAAAACAACTAGGATAGGTTGGTTTGACTACAATTGTCTCTTTCCTGTAGGAGACGAGTGTTCACAGGATGAGAGTGGAGCGTTGGCCATCTTTTCCACACAGCTGGATGACTTCCTGGGTGGTGGGCCGGTGCAGTACAGGGAGCTGCAGAACTGCGAATCCAACACCTTCCTGGGGTACTTCAGGTCAGGAATCAAGTACCAGGTGAGGTCACTATACAATCAATAACGCTCAAAAGTGCCACAATGAGTAGTCGGTTTTAGTCTTTGCTTATTTTAATTGTATTAATTTCCAGATTCATCTACGTTTGTGTTAACGCATAACTCATGTGACCACTTTTTAGTGAAGCCTGCATGGTTATCAAGATGTTGTAACAGTAGGCTCACATTACATTTGTTCATACAAAAGTAATCGCTATTTTGTCAATTTAAACATTAAGCCTTTTGAGTTCTTGCGTGATATGACCTACCCTAATTTCCCTCAAAATACGATAACTTTAAGGTGTCTGGTAGGATGGTAAAATGTCTCATTTGGTAACGCGTAGTGTGGTCACAATTTTCCAAATCTCTGGGTTCGGAAAACATCCTCTATGCTAAACATCGGCGTGTTAGCAATGCCATTGTGAGCATGTTAGCGTGCTAATGTTAGCGTTTAGCTACAAGCCCTAGTGTACGTAGGAACAGCCTAACAACAGGGCTGCTAGCATAGCTCAAGTCTTGTTTTCTGTTGAAAAAATGTGTAATATTCAAATGTACTTGTTTGAGAAGGGAAAACTAAAATGAACTGTTCACAATTCAAACATATGCACCATGTGACAAGGGATTAACCAGTATACTTAATTTCACTATGAAATATTAAGTGAGCAATAATCAGTTACATTACATCACTTACATATACATTACGTATACAGTGAACGTTATGATGAACACAAATGGACTCAGGACTTTGTTTGACCTAAAAATATCTACAGGGTTTAATGATTGTCAGCCCCCGATGAACTTTGCCAAACAGTGAAGCGAATGAGTCTGAAGTTCAGAGGAAGCACAACATTCCCACGTCTTCATAGAAACACCAGGGTGTGTCTGCCAGAGTTACTGACTTTAACCAAGGCAACCATCCCGGGATCAAAGGAGGACATTTTGAAAGACTATGCCACATCGGAACCAGCCGTCTGTTTCCCATTTCATTGAAAACCATCCAAACCTCCTTCAGGAGCGAGTTGGGTATAATTAGCCTAAACTAAAGTCACACACACACACACACACGCACACGCGCACGCGCACGCGCACGCGCGCACACACACACACACACACACACACACACACACACACACACACACACACACACACACACACACACACACACACACACACACACACAGTAAGTTGTTTCGAAAAAAAGAGCCCGAGGCAGAACCTAAACTCATTATCCCCTCATAGTTTTGGTAAGTCCAATGTGAGGAAACAATCCAGTTGTTAAACAGAGCCTGCATTGTTGCCATGGAAAATGTTAGTAACTCTCTTGAGAAAGATGAACCTCGTGAATGTGGTTTCTATTTTGAGGAACCCACTGTTCCAGATGCTTACAACACTCCTGTCTTATTCATTGCGAAGCCCTCCACAGACAGTATGAGAACAAGGAAGTCCCTCTCTGTTCTGTTTGTTTGTTTGTAGCCTTTATTTAACCAGGTTAAAAAATCCCATTGAGCTCAACGATCTCTTTTTCAAGGGAGACCTGCGGTACATTAGTTACACATATAAAAACAATAGAAAACAAAAGGACATCACAACATAATTACAGGGGTATTCATTATCAACCTATTTACATTTACAGGTATCCAATAACATTTCATCCAGCCGTGCTTTAAAATGATGCAAGGGAATCAAAATGCTGAGTTTCAATATTTTTTGCATGGTGTTCCAAGCTAGAGGAGCAGCGCACATAAAAGCTTTAGTACCTAAAACAGTCCTAGCACTTGGCACATGTAATAAAAACACATCCTGGGATCTCAGGCAATAGCTACTTGCCACTCTCTGTGAGATCAAAGAGCATATATAAGTTGGGAGTTTACCCAGCATGGCTTTATATATGAATATGTACCAATGACTGAGCCTCCGACCAGTAAGTGAAGGCAGACCTGCCTTGGCATACAGGGTACAGTGATGAGTAAGTGCTTTACAGTTAGTAACAAATCTCAGAGCACTGTGATAGGCGGCATCTAACCTTTCCAGGCAATGGGCAGGTGCATTCATGTAGATCTAATCACCATAGTCTAGCACAGGTAAAAAGGTCACAGTGACTAGCCTTTTCCTGGCTTCAAAAGAGAAACAGGACTTGTTTCTAAAAAATAAACCTAGTCTAACCCTCAGCTTTTTAAGCAGATTAGTGACCTGAAGTTTAAAAGTAAGACAATCATCAAGCCAGATACCAAGGTATTTATAACAGCTAACCACTTGGAGTACTTCTCACGAAGGGACAGTGTTTGATGTCATCTTACTAAATATAAGAACTTCAAAGTATCAGGGCAGTCACACGGCTTTTCTTCCAGCAGAAAGTCTGTCTGTTGCTCATTTGCACTGAATCATTTGCATGGCTTGTAAATACCTGTTTTGTTTAATGGCTTCACCAAGGACGGCATGTTACGAGACAATCCCAAACCCCAGGTACACTGAAACAGACGTGATCCTCCTCTCCAGAACCAGCATCCTGTTACTTTCGTTTCCCCTGTGATAAGGTTTATTGGCTTTGCTAGCTGTGATTTATAGTACATTTCTTTATTGGCAGCACAATTTACAACCTTTTGTCCTTTGAGGATTTGACTGTGTTGTGTTAAAGTGAAAACAGACAGCCTTTGTCTAAATGGCAATGGTGTTATTAAGGGCTGCAGCCAGCAGTTTTTTTTCCGTTAAGGGTTGATTAGGATAAAGCTAATTATATCAATTAATACAAGATTTAGAGATAAAGTAAACTACATTCTTTCTCTGTCGATAGAATAATCAATTACTCAACTAATAACTTAACTAATCGTTGCAGCTCTAGAGTCAACAGCAATCGAAGTTACCTTTGTAATGATAAGATAAAAGCCAAATAAACCTTGTATATTGCAACTTTAATCTCATCTAACCCTCACTGTGCAACAAATGTTGAGTCTCATGAAATCATCTGTGTCCTCCTCACTTCCTCACCCAAACCTCTCCTTGGTGCATTTGTGACTGTTTACTGGACCTGTAAACTAAAACGTTACAAATGATGTGAAGTGTGTGCCCCTTTTCTTTACTTAACTGTGCTCATGTACACATTTACAATAAATCAGTTCCCTTTATATAACCTCATTTATTTGTGGCCACAGAAAGGGGGCGTGGCTTCAGGATTCCAGCATGTGGTGACCAACGACTCCAACGTGAAGCGCCTGCTGCACATCAAGGGCCGCCGGGCCATCAGGGCCACCGAGGTGGACATGTCCTGGAACAGCTTCAACAAGGGGGACTGCTTCATCGTGGACCTGGGCAAGGTGAGCCCCCCCCCTTCACTTTCTATCTAGCTGGATACTTACACTGTGTGTAGAGTGGCGAAGTCACGCCCATCTACTTCCGCCCCATGGGACCTTATTTCGGAAAAATAATGTATTGAAGTCAATGGAGAGAGAAAACTTATCTTTCGATCCCGTTTGAATTGTGCCATGAATTACACATATGATGTTTGTCAATCTTAAAATATAATTTCCATGTCAAAAAAGTCACAGTTTGTCGTAAAACTGTTGAAATATAAGACTATGAAAAATACGTAACTAGAAAGACTACAAATTCCAGAGTCGCGTAAGTGATGTCACAATTGTTTTCCTCCACTAAGAGATAGCTAAGATCAGCGCCATATAGATAATCTATCTATATGGCGCTGGCTAAGATAAGATCACTTTAACAAGATGCCTGTGTGCTTAGTACCAGGTTGTTATTATACCAGCAATGGGTCTTGCTCGTTCTTTCGCTTCCCGTCTGATGAAAGGTCCAGCAGTGTCTGGATCAAGCTAGCTAGTAGCTAGCACGTTAGTTAGCATTACAGCCTTGTCATTTTTATTAGCCTTAACATGAAGTAACATTAAGTAACCCAAAATGTTAAACAGTAAGAGTAGTAGTCATATTTCGTGAACCTTTTGAAGAGTACTGTCACCGGTGTGATCATTCTATAATACACAATTTAAGCCCGGGGGAGAAATGCTAACGCTAACGCTAGCATTGACGATCTTCTCTACTTCATGCTATCTGCACAAATGGTTGACATTAAACATTAAAACGACCAGGCAGTTCAGAGAGAATCAAAGGAAGGCAGGCAGGCAGGCAGCTTTGCATGACATTCTTCAGGACGTGTTTCATTGTGGTGATAGTGAGGGTAGTCAATCGTTTTGTTGACAAGACAGTAGTGACGGCCATCTTGGTGACGTGTGTTGTTGACCAGAGATGTAGTTCATTGAGCGTTTCACACAAACAAATGTGTTACTTCACAGTTTTACGACACATTTTTTTACTTGCAAAATTATCTTTTAAATTGACACACATCATATGTGTAATTCGTGGCACAATTCAAACGGGATCGAAAGATAATCTTTCTCTCTCCATTGACTTCAATACATAATTTTTCCGAAATAAGGTCCCATGGAGGTCCACCGGAAGGGGAGGGACTTCGCCACTCTATACTGTCATAGCAGTGTAATACATTTGTTGTATTCCATGAAATCAACCCCGTTTTGATACCATTTATGTGAAATAGAATGATCGACAAAGAAATAAAAAATAGGTAAATACATTATATACAAATATTTATATAAACATAAGTAGTTAAAGGTGGGTTAGGTAAGTTTGAGAAACCGCCTCGAGAAACACTTTTTGTTATATTCCATGGAATGCTCTTAACATCCCGATAGCAATGAAATGCTTTGACAAGAAATCCATAAAAAAATGTCATCTGTGGAAGCCGTAGTACTGTAAAAAGCACGACCAATCATTTTAGCCGGCCCGGCTAAAATAACTGGATGGCCTACCTGCCTGTCAGCCTTCCATCTGTGCACAAACTTATCTCGTGCCCTCATTGGTCATGTGCGCGTTCGTGTGTGTTGGAGGAGGGGCTCTGTAAGGAAGTGGCAGATTTTTTCCGGTTGTGTATTTTCAAATTCTAGCGCACTCGAGCCGGTTTCTCCAAAATGACCTACCCCACCTTTAAAGTTAAATGTCCAATAAAAACAAAATTGAATAAAAAAGAATACAAACATTTACATAAAGAAGATAAAGTAAAAATATCCAATAAAAGATAAAATAGAATAGAATAAACATATTTACTCAAAGATAAGAAGCTAAAGTAAAATGTCCAATAAAGAAAGAAAAATTGAAAAGATTGAAAAGAAAAATATATAAATATTTATATAAACATAATAATAATAATAATAATAATAATTCATTACATTTTTATTAGAGCGCTTTTCCAAGTGCTCAAAGCGCTTTACATTACATATTACACATATTGGACATGTATGTGTACATTGTAGTACATGATATATGACATACATATTATAATATGTATAGTTGTGTACTAGTATTATTAACATATACATGCTGAATTGCACAGCTGAAGAAAGTTTGGATGAACCAGAACCAAGCTGCTCATAAAATTATTTCTAAATCTTACATTTTAAAGTGCACATACATTTTGCTAGCCGGGTTTGACTACAGGTTTTGACCAACAAACACAGATCTCAATCACACTCTTGGTAACATTTGTCAACAGGACCATGCTACACATCATTTGATCAGGATAATGTATTTAATATCCTGTCCCCCCCCCAGGACGTGTACCAGTGGTGTGGCAGTGAGTGCAACCGCTTCGAGAGGCTGAAGGCCGCCGAGGTCAGCCTCGGCATCCGAGACAACGAGAGGAACGGCCGAGCCAAGGTGCACATGGTGGAGGAGGGGGAGGAGCCTGCAGCCATCATAGAGGTGACACACACACACGCACACGCACACGCACACGCACACGCACACGCACACGCACACGCACACGCACACGCACACACACACACACACACATACACACACACACACACACACACACACACACACACACACATACACACACATTTCTTGCCACACACTGGGGAGAAGCAATAAGTGTTGTTGATGCATTTCACGGCCGCTGATCAGTCACCGTGGGAGCGAGTGGACACAGTGAAGTCCTTTGTAATGCCCTGCTCATGTGCCAAGTCTGTGCCAAGGCGGTATTGTAAACACTTCCTTTACAACAAGAGAGGGGGGTAAACTCCACAGAGAACCGATGAAGAATATATTTTAAAAACATCAAGATCTTTATTTTTATTTGTTCAAACTTACTTTTTATTTGAACATCACAAGAACAAACATACACAATAGCCACATTTACATACTTTATTATCCTACACATACAGGTCATCTTACAAAACAATTCAGAAGAATACAGAAATGTTTGACAAGATCAGAACAATATATACAGAAGCCTAAACATAAGTAAAGAAAAGAAAAAAAAGAGAAAAAAAGAAAAGAAAACTTGCATCATCAATGATAACAATTATAGGGAGAGAAAAATAAAATAAACAAATGAATAAATAAATCAAGATAACAAGGTACGATGGTTTAGGGGACTAGGCCTTGATCCTATTCAATTAAGTATACTAAACACTACATTATTGTAGTAGCAGAGGCATTACAGGCATCTATCCATACGTTTATTATTTACTGTTATCTCTTTATATATATTGACTGTGAATACATTTATGTATATATATTTTATTTAGATATTTTAATTTTCGATTTCGATACTCCTGTCTGTATCTCACACACAGAAGATTGACAATAAAGTTGACTTTGACAATTCTTAAAAATATTTTGTTTCTGAAGGCTCAAGGCATATGTCATTTTTTTACCTTTCGTACAACTCCCAAACCTTTGGGATCCAGTGGTTATATGTTGGAGGTTCAGGTTTAACCGTCTAAATGTGATGCACTTGATGGCTGGATAGGATTTGAAGTAAATATGCTTAATCTCTGCCAGCAAGCTTGTTGCTGGCAAACCTTGTTTATCTCGTTGGCTGTCCAGTCTTCATCTGTGTATGAAATCATGATTGAATCTTGGAGTAGTGATGATCCTGACAGAAGAGGAGACTAATGATTCCTTCCTCTGGTTGTGAAGGCTCTGGGGCCCAAAACCGCCATAGCTCCCAGCAGCATGGACGATGATAAGGTGGACACCTCCAACAAGAAGAAGGGTGCCCTCTTCATGGTGAGTAATGTAAGTAACACGCTGTTGGTGTCAACTGAATTTATGTGCACTACACTGCATGTGCATGTGTTCATAAATCAGTTAAAGAGATACTAAGCAGTATATGAAATCAAGCCTGATGATTGTGAAATAAAAGGCTGTACTACAATCTGGAAGCACTGATTTGAATTAAAAAACACAACTTAGAACCCTCTATTTTTAGTTTTTTGTCGTATCTCAAAAACCTGCATGTATGCACTCATCTTTATGGAAAATGTTACTAATCTACATTTTTAAGGCTGCTTTAAATTAATATGCATGTACACTCTACAATCACAAAATAGGACATTAAATTACCTTTGCATTTACGGAAAGAAAAATGTGCATGTTGTAAGAAATGAAGAGGTTTTGAGGCCGTTATAGACACACGTCCTCGCTTACCTTGACGCTTTAAGAACAGAACTACTAGGAGTTGGGGTCTTTCTGGTTCTCAGGTCTCTGATGCCACCGGCGTGGTGAAGGTGACGGCTGTGGCTCCGTCCAGTCCCTTCAAACAGGCCATGCTGTCTCCTGAGGAGTGCTACATCCTGGACAACGGGGTCGACAAGAACATCTTCGTTTGGAAAGGTGACGACAGCAGTGCAGTTTTAAAAACACAGCAGGAAATGAGCTTTCCTTGCTGTTTTACCAATGATTCTCTGATTCTGATTTACTTAAATAAAAGGACGTACTCCTTCCTCAAGTAGCACATGGCACTATGTTCTCATGATGTCATGTCTTATCTGACTCCTACCAGGTCCCAAGGCTAACAAGACAGAGCGTAAAGCAGCCATGGCAACAGGCCAGCAGTTCATCAAAGACAAGGGATACTCCAACAAGACCCAGGTGACGCTGACATGTGCAGAACTACTCAAACACACACCAGGCTTAGAAAAGCAGCATCTTCTTTTACACCATTAGAGGATATGATTTTCTGTTGTGAAAATAAAAAATGATAATGTTGACATTTTACAACCTGGACATTAGTTTCCCCTATTTTTGTGTCTAAGAGAAATTAGGAAAACTATTGTTTTAATTGGTCCAGTATGGGGACACAGCGCTGCAGCTTAGTATGCAAAAAAAGGCTGCACTACTTGTGCCACTGGCAGGATCATATATTTATATATGTTTTGTGTCTGACTGAAAAGATCATGGAAATACAGAAACATTTTTGTCTTTACCTCGGGCCGGATCTGGTCGTTTTGTTAGTGTGTCAAGTGATTTCTTGTCAGCAGAACGGGGAAGATGTAAGTGAAACAGATCATTGTAACATGCCATAAACCCTTCTGTTTCAGCCCTGTTCCAAAAGTGCTGATTCTGTGTCTGTAACTTTAAATGCTAATGAGCTGCTGCTGGACACACCCCTCTGAGAGATGATAGGGTAAAAAAAACAACAATGGTGCTCAAGGAGGAGATTTAGGTGATAAGGTGGGCGGGTGTTACCTGGTGATTGGCTAATGGTTACACAAGCCAAAAAAACTTTGTGACATCACAAAGCGGACAAAATCTGATCAGCTCATTTTCAGACAGGTTTTTATATAAATGGATCAGGACCAAAAGAGAGAGAATAGTTTGTATCTTTATGAATCTCTTAACACAGAGGGGACATATATTTATGTATAAAAGACATGAAAAAGTGGTAATAATAGGTGACCTTTAACAGTGCAAGACTACAGTGCATGGGCGGTTCTAAGGGGTGGCCAACAATACATTTGCCCCCCCTGTGCCCAACTCCAAAAGAAGAATCTATAATAATATAATTTGTGATAGTGTTGCAACAAAGATTGATAACATCAAAACAAACATATAAGACACATATATGATAAGAAACTAATATTTGACATCACATTACAATCACTGAAGACAATAACAAAATACCAAAGTCACACTTGAACTAAAACCCCCTCTCTGTCCCCTGACCTTACAGATCCAGGTTCTTCCTGCAGGAGCCGAGACCACCATGTTCAAGCAGTTCTTCTGCGACTGGAAGGACAAAGACGAGACCACGGGCCCCAGCAAGGCCTACACCATCGGCCGCATCGCCAAGGTGGCCCAGGTGCCCTTTGACGCCTCCTCCCTGCACTCCAACAAGGCCATGGCCGCCCAGCACGGCATGGTGGACGATGGCAAGGGCAAGGTCCAGGTACGAGAGGGCTGACATCTGAAAAGAAGGTGAAGATGGATCATTGTTGTGAGGTTGGGGATAACAGGGTGTGGTCTTTGCTTCCAGATTTGGCGTGTTGAGGGGGAGAGGGTGCCAGTGGACCCCTCCTCTTACGGTCACTTCTACGGTGGAGACTGCTACCTGATCCTGTATAGCTACAGGCTGGGGGCCCGCGAGCAGCACCTCATCTACACCTGGTGGGTAAAACAAATGTGTGAATTACAAGCTGTAGTATTGGGAGCACACATGACCTCAAACACACCATGGATAGATAATGAACCAATGGACCCCACAACCACTCAGACATAGAAGCAAGACACACAGCTGTGAGCCTCTTTTGTTTTTGTGTCTCCTGTTAGTTGTGACTCGTCCCTCTGTGGCTCAGCTTTTTATAGCCTCGTTGTGTCCCTTTGAAGTTACAAAAGATTAAGATTAAGAACAACTACAGCAGTAGATAGTGCAACACAATAGTGCAAAAAACACATTTTTCCAGCGAATTGCAGAGTATATACTTTGAAGTCATGTTTTTCCATTATGTCTTTCACTTTGTAGTAGGTTTCTGCTCTTTTTTGATATTTTGAGTTTCTTTGCAAACATTTTTTGTGTCTTTGTTGTGGTTTTCTTCTTGTGCCACCTCGTAGGCACTTTGTCTCTCTTTGGGGTCTTTGTTGTTGTTTTGTGAATCTTTGAAATCCTTTTTTGTCTCTTTGGTTTTCATTATGTGTCTCTTTATGGTCATTTCCCGCTCTTTGTGGTTGTTTTGAGTCTTCTTGTGGACATTTTGTATCTCGTTGTAGTTGTTTTGTGTCTCTTTGTAGTCTTTACGCATCTATCTGTGGTCTCTGTCTTTGTGGTCATTTTCTGTCTCTTTGGTTGTTTTGTATCTCTTTGTATTCATGTTGTGTCTCTTTGTTGTCCCCATGTATCTCTTTATTGTTGTTGTATGTCTTTTTGAGTTAATGTGTTATAACTGTCTTGGTCTAATTGTAGTTTATTTGTCTCTGTTAATCTCTTTGCAGTTGTTTCCACCCTTCTCATAGTCATTATGCATGTCTTTGTCTCTGTGCGGCTGTTTTGCATATTTCTGTAGTCAATTTTTGTTTCTTTGTGGTTATTTTGAGTCTTTTCCTGGCTGGTACGTGTCTCCTTAAGCGGCATTTTCCGCCTCTGGGTGTGACCGGTAGGCCCGTCTAATGATCCGTCGGAGCACCACACCCATTCTAAGAACACACAAGCAAACAGACACACCAGTACAGTGTGTGTCCTGCTTCCAGTGGAAAATAATTCCGCCTGTGTGTGTGTTCCTGTCTCAGGCAGGGGCTGAAGTGCACAGTGGATGAGCTGGCCGGCTCAGCGTTCCTCACAGTGAAGCTGGATGACTCAATGGGAGGATCCCCCGTTCAGGTGAGCAATGACTCACTGCGAGTAAAAACAGGTTCAGATTCTGGACATTCCCATAGTGATCCTCAACAGAAACACCAGACTTACCCGTGACTCAAGAGCATTAAAGGACTAATACAAAATAAAGCATTGAGTGTAAACAATAATTATGTTAGGAGTTTTTTTCTCAGAAGCTGACATGACTAGACAAAGGTGTTCTCTTGAGGATTGTGGAAGTTGCAGCTGAGGTGTCAACATTGAGAACCAACCCAAATAAATTCACAATAACATAAAGGGTTTACCATCTTAACAATTAGCTAATTTCACTTTGAACATAACTTTCACAAAGTTGTTTTCCTGGTTGCTATAGATGGGTTCATTAGAAACCAAAGAGTAAAATGTCTGGCTTAACAGTAGCAGCAATGTGGGAAAAAAAACTACTTTTATTAAGGGATCTGCTTCTCAAATCCATTAAACCTAATAATCACACAGGATTAAATACAGCTGACTAAAACCAACAATTCAAAAAAATTATTGAACATTCTTCTGCCATGAAAAATAATGACATTGGACCACCAGCAGAGGGAAGTGTCGCTCTAATATTTGATACCACAATTAAAGTTAAAATGTAAAATGGTCATAACAGAGTTGACAAACAAATGCTGCACACATTGAACTCCAAATTTGATCAGTTAGTTAAAACAGATTTCCTTTATTTAACATTCAAAAAAACATTCAATCAAAAAGCAAACAACCTGACAATGATGTAATCCAAAGGTTTGAGATATTTATTTCATACAGGATATACTGATGTATTTTTTCAGCCTATTTACTATACATTACTCACTTTATCCTTCAATTTGGTTCAGTTCTCCATGGTACTGTGCCAAAATAAATTATGAGGGTATTGAAACTTGATTGAATCGTGTGATTACCAAATCTATATTCATTTATGTAAAAGTTCAACTTTGTAGAGATTTATAAATGTCTGTTCCCTTAATCCCTGAGCTTGAATTGATAATGAGAATTGATAAATAAATAAATATTTAATTACAATATTTATTAGATACAAAGATTCTCTTCTGTGTTTCTCTTTAGCAGAAGTAATGCATTTTTCTTATTTGTATATGTATATTGTTGAGATGTATACATTTAGAATGACCAAAATAAAATAAAATAAAACAAAATGAAATGAAATAAAATAAGTTTTCATTGACAAATAGTAATGGAAATATGACTTTTAATGTAAAAAAAACGTGGAATCAAATATATAATAAAAGAATACAAAATTGTAGATCATATTGCCATGTTCCTTCCTACCCATAATTCTTCATATTGCTGTTTTTTATATGACTGGATATGTGGACAATCTGTGTCACTTTTTCAGGCTAGCTAAGTTAGAAAACAGTCTACAACCTTCATTGTGATGTTTTCCTTTGAATGACCTATCCACAGGTGAGAGTGACTCAGGGCCAGGAGCCCCCCCACCTGATGAGCCTGTTCCAGGGAAAGCCCATGATCATCCACAGCGGGGGAACGTCCCGTAAAGGGGGTCAATCTCAGAGCGGCACCACCCGCCTCTTCCACATCCGCCAAAGCTCCTCCAGTGCCACCCGGGCGGTGGAGGTGAGCCCACTCCCAGTACTTGACCTTGTGTTGTCACCACCTTGAGTTCTACCTCTGACCTGTGTCTGTGCTCCCCCAGGTCGAGGTCTCTGCTTCCAACTTGAACACCAACGATGTGTTCGTGCTGAAATCCCAGAGCGGCCTGTTCGTATGGAAGGGCGTGGGGGCCAGTGATGAGGAGATGGATGCAGCCAAGCACGTTGTTGGCTTCCTGGGGGGCAATCCCACCCAGGTGTCAGAGGGCAAGGAGCCAGGTGGGTGTCCTCTGAGGAACTATAGAAACTGCTTTTCATCAAAGGTTGTGTCTTAAAGAGGCGCTATTATGCCGTTTGGGGTTTTCCCTCTTCTGTACAGTGTTCTGTAGGGTTGTATGCATGTTAATGGTCTGCAAAGGTTACAATCCCTTTGTTCCCTCCACACACACTCCCCCCCCCCCCCCCCCCCCCTGCCTCCATTGGACTCCTTTGTTTACTTTAGTAACATAGTGACATCACTATGGAACACTTGCGCTTCTATTGGCTAGCATTACAACAAATTGTATGTGATAGGTTAAGGGGCAGAACATCTCTAAGTGGTTGACCAATCACAACAGAGCCGGCCAGCTAACCAATCAGAGCAGACTGGGCTCTGGTTTCAGACAGAGGGTGAAAAGAGGTGCTGTATGAGAAAAATAAAGAGCTTTTTGAACATTAAAGCATGGAGACATGTCACAGTAGAGACACTACATACTGATATGAATCTGAAGATTACCATAATAGGGCCCCTAACTAAGGACATATTTGATTTTTTTCCTGCCCAATGATGATACTTTATTGGATATCTCTGACAACGCAACAAGAATGCATAACTCAGTGTAAACATCATTCTCATTAGCCTAATGTCTGCACAGTAGTTTAAAGCCAAAAGTTAAATGAACAGACTTTATCGAAGACATTGGTCTTATTGACAGAAGGATTTAGAGCAGCTGTTTGTTTTTGTTGTTTAGAAGAATGTCACTGATTGTCCTTATGGTACTAGAATTTAAAAGGCAAAAATAAAAGGCCCTTAGCCTGTTAAGCCGGCGGGGGCTATGGGCTTTTTTTTCACGAAACTGTGTCTCAGGGCTTCTTAACATTTAACAAACTATGAATGTGTCATACCCACCTAACGGGAAGAAACTCAGCTAACTGACGATGCGAACCATTTTTACCGAAACAAAACACAAGTCTCACAAGAAGCGTCTAAATGAGCCCTGAGAGAAAAAATGCTGACGCACTTAGCACAGAACTCACGGTATAAATACTTGATTACTTATCGGATCTGCACAAACAAGATATCAGATTAAAGCTGAGATTCCACAGATTCCAGAAATATAAGTATCATCACTGTGCGATCAGATTCCCGGCAGGGGAAGCAAACCCAGACAACACACGACGTAGCTTTACGGAGCAAAAACGCAATGCTTTTTCTGATCAAAAGTTGTGTTCAATGAAATTAAAACGAGAAAAACGCTGCTGAAGGTTAATACAATGTGTCACTTTGAAATGATTACTGATAATCCATCATTCCATTTTTGTCAAAAACTGAGATTTCATATTAGCTGCTATTAGCTGCTATTAGAGCTACAACCCAGCTTCCGGTTTTGGGCAAACTGCGTGCGCATCACTCTCAATCCTCAATGAAAATGTTTAGATGGATTTAGGAACTTCCCCTCGATTATATTGGCTCTAACGGTTCAAAAGAGGTGTCAATCATCAAAATCGACCGAGGGGGGCCAGAGATATGGCAAATTCACCCAAATGACCCCAGAAGTGTTTTTATTTGTTGCTAAATCTCTCTAAAAAGGTCAAATTTCACTTGTTTTGCATCAATCTTGATACAGGGTACTTATTATATGTTATAGTTTGGATTCCTAAAGCTTTTAGTCTACCATCCCATCATTCAAGGGTGGTTTTCACTATAAGTAATGGTTTATTTTTGGACGGACACTATAATTAAAAAAGTTTTACTATGTTCAATCTGAATTTACTTTAAAATAAAAAAAATCTATATTGATTCTGACTTTTCTACATCCAACTCACAGATACCTTGCTTTGAGAAAAAAGATGATTAATTTACCCCTTTTAGAAGTGAAGATATAGTCATTTGTTCTGGGAATGTCATTTTCGAGCCTGAGACCTGAAAAACAGGCTTGGGGCTTAACAGGTCATGTTTAATTGCTACATGCTGTGTGTTGCCATGAAGATCTAGCCTTTCTATTTGCCCAATGAGTGGCCTGATAGGAAGCAGATGCTGCAGTTACAGAGGAGTCATCGGCATCTATCTTTGGTGGAGGAAGTGATTCACCTCCAATTGAAGCAAACAAACTGCAAGTAAAAATGGGACAAATGACTTGATGCTGATAGAAATTGTGTTCTCTGCCCCCCCCCCCAAGGTGATTTCTGGTCTGCTCTCGGCGGCAAGAAGACTTACCAGACGTCCAAGAGTCTGCAGAACGTAGTCAAGCCCCCACGTCTGTTTGGCTGCTCCAACAAAACTGGAAGGCTTATTGTAAGTGAAATAAAAAAGTAGCTCTATCTTGGCTAAATTGTAGAGTGTCTATGCGATTAAATAACAAATTCACAAGAAAGATATGTGTCAAAAATCATAAATCCAAACAGTCAGTCTGAGTTTTCTCTGTCTGTCAGGTGGAGGAAGTACCAGGGGACTTCACTCAGTCAGACCTGGCCACTGATGATGTCATGCTCCTGGACACCTGGGACCAGGTAAGCTTTGACATGTGTGAAAATGTCTTCCAATGACTATGACGCACACACACCCCTAAAACTCTGTTTCTCTTCCCTGTAGATCTTCCTGTGGGTCGGCAACGATGCTAATGCAGAGGAAAAGAATGGAGCTCCTAAGATAGGTTAGTTGCATACAATAAGGAATAAACTAAAGTACCACACAGAGCATACTGTCTAGCTTCAGAAACATGTTTAGTACAGTAGAAACAGTTTCTAGTGATCACAGTAACAGTGATCAGCCACTTATTTGGATGAAAGCTTAGCACAGAAACATAACCATTTAGATGCTTTTTAAAATCTTTTTTTATGGTATCATGTTGGCCACTTACAGGTTTCATTTTGGGTCTTTTCATACATTGCAACATATGGAAAAACATTTTTAAATCATATATTTGATTTTAATATTTGACAATTGATAGCCTACCGTTTTAATTTAGGCCTAAAAATTGATCTCTGACATTACTGCGCTTTTCACAGTACAATACATTTGAGGCGTTAGACTAATAGAACTTCAGACTACAGTGAACTATATGTTATATTTAGTACTTGCCTTTATAGCAGCTAAATCATTAAGGGAATAAAACTGAATATTTTACTCAAAATAAAACTGCCACTGGGGCACCAGTTAGCAAATCTTGTCCAGATGTCAATGTCCAGACAAGAACGTAGTTTTTTTGCATTTATTTTGTAGTATTCCGATAATCCAATAGAAATATGGTTTCACCTCTGGCTTTTCCTGTTAAAGAAACATGTTCCATCTCTGGTGCGCCAGTCCCACCACCACCTGTGTCCAAAGTATACATAATCACCAGGTGCCCAAATATCTCAGTGCCCATAACCGCCTTCAAAATAAAAGCACAATGAATTACATGAACTAAAATAATTAAACTAAATAATAATACGTTTACTTTAAAGGTCCCATGTCATGGCCATTTCTACTGATCATAATTCCATTGTTGAGGTATACTAGAATAGATTTATACTGTGCAATGTTCCAAACTCACATTGGTTTCTCATACAGCATCTCTGTATAGTATGTGTATTCACTCTCTGTCCTAAACGGCTTGTTGGAGCTCCTGCCCCCCCCCCCTCCCTGTGAGCCCAGTGGCCGTCTGCGAGACAGCAAGACACAGCGAAACCCAGCCCGAAACACACACACACACTGGCTGGGAGTTTGGTTTAGCGGATTGGTCCAAATGTAACGGCTCCGCGGACGTTGCGTTACGTCACTATACCCGAAATACGTCACTATACCCAAGAAGTAAACAATGGAATAAGAGAAATCTCCAACGAGGCGTTCTGGGGCAGCATAGACAGGTCTTTTCTGTGTTAGAGTTTTACTCGCTACAGGGTGTACTTTGAGGGTTTGTGACTCTGCAGACCGTTTACATGCAGAAAAAGCTACATAACACACAAGGGGACGGGAAATAACCGGAAAAGCATGACATGGGACCTTTAAGAAAAAACTGCAGGAAATGTGACTATTAAATAATCAATGCGTAGCTCCAACACCTTCATTGTTGTGCATTTGAATTACTCACAGTACAATCAAATTAATTTGTGCAGTATTTTTAAGGGTTGAAACTGTCAATAAAATCAGCAGCGAGCTGTCAGTTTCAACACTTTGTGTTCCTATAATAAATATATAAATATTAGACCTAACGTCATTTCCGTTTCCCTGTCTGTTTTTCTACCCACCCCTTCCTCTACCTCTTGTCCTGCAGCTAAAGAGTACGTGGACTCAGACCCGTCCGGTCGCAGGGGGCTGCCCATCACCACCGTCAGACAGGAGGCCGAGCCCCCCACCTTCACCGGCTGGTTCCAGGCCTGGGACCCCAAGATGTGGGAGACAGATCCCTTCGACAGAATCCGTGCACGTTTCTAAAAACACAAAATTCCCCAAGCTCTTTCCACCTATCTGACTCCTTAGCTGGCTAGCACGTTCTATTGCCATTTATTTTAACCTCAATCCCTAAGTGCCAAAAACAAAGTTATCATCAGGTTGAATGGCAGCCTCTATATGCCTTGGTCATGTGCAGAGCATCGGACTTCATAACAGTATCATCAGTATCATCAGTATCACATCAGTAGTCAAATGACTTCCTGTTGCTACATCATTTGTAATTGATAACGTGGTTTATTGATCTGTTGCACCCTATAGCTAATTTGTATCTAAGCCACTATCAAGAATTAGTCTATTTGCCAGCTTATAGAGTCCTACTGTGAACCCGGAAATGTTAAGTACAACAAAGTTTTATGTTAGAAATGAAGAGTAAATATAGCCATATAGTAAAATGGCAGTTTTAACCAGAAAGTGACCATATTTTTACTGAGCTGATTTTGAAGTATTTTGGGTTGATTTGAAAGTTTTAGGGAACTTAAAACTGCCATATTTGACCCTAAACATTTCTTAAATTGATTCAGCATCCTCAATATGTCAGAAACCACACCAAAAATGTGCAAATCGGCCGGGCCATTTTTGTACTATTGTCTGCGTATGCTAATGAATGCTAATGAATGCTACTTATGCAAATTGCCCAACATATGCAAGTTAGCATCCGACAGTTTCTATGTGCTGGGGACCCGTACTGTACATTTCTATCATATAATTTTGGGGTACTCACACTGCTGGCAAGTAGACTAAATAGGAACAATTGGAAAGGAAGTCATTTCAGGGAGCCGGAGATCCTCTGCTTCTCTCTTTCACTTCAGAAGACACAATCATGCTTTCCTTTCAGTCTGTCTTCAAAGTTTTGTTTTTTTCATAGACTCCATTACTTTGCGGTGTTTACATGTGTTGTGTTTTATTTGGTACTGAATAGTTGTACACTTGCTATAAGTTGCATGTTGCATTGTTTTTAAATCATATCCTGTGCTTGTGAATTTTTAAAAGGCGAACAGCGGCGTTTCCGCTGTCTTTATTACTTGACCCTGAAATGCTAAATGGATGGCTTTTAAATAAAAACTCCCAGTATTTCAAATCTGTGTTTTCTATTTGAGTGAATGAGAAAGAATCCTAAGTGTCTACATTCTGCACCAACGCCATTTGGTAATTTCAGTCAAACCTACAGACTGTCAGAAGGTTTATCAGCTAGCTTTCACTATCCTTCTCTCTCTTCTCTTGGGAAGAGAGAATGGGATTTGGTTGCAGCTCTCAGCATCTGTCTAAGTAGGAATAAGACATGAAAGCTCGGTTCACAAACACAGGTTGGAAACAGCAGCCAGGAAGGATTACTACCTGGAAATCTCTATATGTTGATGTGATATCCCAAATTGAGACTTTTGTGATTTGCAGTCTAAATACATTATCCATAATGCAAATTCAGAAGATAGCCAATTAGCCCAACCTATAAACGAGAAAACTGTTCTTGATGGCTAAATTAGCTTTTAATCATTTACTGATTTCCTTACCAGGTGTGCTTGACAAAACACTCAGTAACAGTATTTGTAAGACATCCATACTGCAATACCATGTTCCCTGTGTATTTAAAATGGACTTAAAATGATACTCAGGAAGCACAGTTAGCACAACAACACAATATTCAGTCCCTTTTTCCAGTTTTAGGAAGGATTTTAAACATTGAATTGGGTAAGACAACTCAACTCCCCACTGAATGTAAATGTTTTTTCATGAATTTTAAAGAAAATAGGCTACTTGATAAGCAGATTAGTCATTTATAAGAAATTAAAAATGCAGCATTCAATGACATTAAGGTCAAACTTCATCTGCTGATGAACATCATGTCATATATTGGAATCTCTACAGAAAATTGATCTTGCTCCAAATTGGATTCTAAGGGGAAGAGTCAATGTTGAACCTCTTTTTGAACCAATGTGGTCAAAAGTATTTGCCAGAAAACATTAGATTTACGAAGCGCAGGTCCAGAACAGTTAATAAATTGACTTTGTGGTGAGACTTCTTTGATTCATAATAATACCCTATTCTGGTGAATGTGTCTTTCATTTTTATTAGCTAAATTCCAAAACTGTAGAATATCCCCATCTGTTTACATTTGTATGTATTTTATTATTTCTTCTTAGTAACAGATTTCACAAACATCAATTTTGCTCAATAATAGCTGAAGGACAATGTGTTGACGGTTATTGGCACTAAACCTGAGATGGGACTTCTAAACCTTGCTTTAAATAGCCCTGCAGGCTGTACCGCACAACAGGGGCGCTGTTACAGGCATTCAATGACACGGTAACCTGCATTACCAGCCTCTATTGCTATGCGGCGGCGCTCCACAGATCTCTCCCCCGCTCTAGTGTTGGCTGTTCGGGGATAAAGCTGAGTGCTAGTCGGTCATGTGATTCCTTTTTTTTCCTCCTTCGAAGTTGAAAGGCAGGAGCAGAGCGGTGGAGGGGGCCCAGCTTGCCTTCCTACTTAACGTGTTTGTCCATTTTTCTCGTTCGGAGTGATATTTGTATCCAAACCTTTCCTTCACAATGGCGGGGGCTATTATTGAGAATATGAGCACCAAAAAGTTGGTGATAATGGGAGTAACTCTGCTTTTGTTCCAGGCGTTTGCCTTCATGGTCGGCGGTTTAATTGGTAAGTTTTACCCCTTTTTTATACCTTCACTTTGATAATGTTTAGCTACCGAGTGTCTTTGTTCGCGCGTGCATAAATGTAAACGCTAACATTTGTCTTTGTGAGCGCGTGCACTAATGTGTTAAATGTAAACGCCAACGTCTCTACACGGTAAAAGCACAAAGTGTGCCTCAACAACAGCTTCAAACAACGTTTTAATACAAAAGAAAAGATGTTAGGATCTAACTTAGCTTTTTTTTAAAGAGTTGTGCTTAACAATGCGGTACTTTGACACCTTAGCTGCCGAAATGCACCTCAGTTAAATCACTGCTTTGTATCAAGGTGTCTGCTGCTGCATGCCACAACCGCTGGATTCATGTTTTGGCTAAAAATAACGTAGGATAACACATTTGCACTGGTGTAAAGTACCGTAGTACATTTTCTTAAGTAGGCTACTCTACCTAAGTATAATTTTGAGGTACTTGTACTTCACTTGAGTATTTCAATGTTTTACTTCTTTGTACTTCTACTTCACTACAATTCAGAGGTAAATCGTGTACTTTTACTCCACTACATATATTTTGTACATTTAGTTACTTTACAGATTTGGATTAATGATGTGAAATATAATCAACTCTTAAATCAGACTTTAGTTCCACCTGGAGTCAATTCACAAGCTACCCTGCAGTGTACAAAGTCATTCAAACTAGCTGCACCTTTACCAGCTTTGAGAACACTTTAATGATCAATCATTATAAAACATATCATATATATTATTCTGAAATGGACCAATCTGCACAATGACTAATTTTACTTTTGGTACTTAACTATATTTCGATGCCTCTGCTTTTCCTTGAATACAATTTTGATTGCAGGACTTCGACCTGTAACAGAGTATTCCTACACTCTGGTACTTTTACTTAAGTACAAGATCTGAGTACTTTTCCCACCTCTGCTTTTGCATTTTCAGCACTGTAATCTTTTGTGTTTTTTACTTATTTGATCCAAACTCGACAGCTCCCCCCCCTTTTTTTCCCCTTCACATACCTCCTGCTCTTCCTCCTTTACCCCCACCTCTCATATATAATGTCTGTCTGCTGTTTGGGGCCCCAGGCAGCATCTCTACCTTCCTTTCACTCCGTCCTCTCCCCCCCCCTGTGTAAAGTCTCTCTTTTTCCCCAAATCCCTATCCCCCCGCAGGCGGAACATTCATGTTTCCTCCTCTTCCCCCTAGTTTAATTTGCATTCAGACAGACAGCGGTGCACAAATATAAAACACAAGAGCACCCAGCTGTCAAAGTTGCATTTTGCCTTGAGGACCCCGTTGGAGTTGCTGTCAAGTTTCTTCAAATCCACCCACTCACACATGCAGCTACACACAAACACATTTGATAGAAAATGTGCCTCTTTCTTATGGGCTAAATCTGGAAAAACAGCCCCCGAACACCAGTCAGCCTGTCTCCGTGTCCCTGCTCTCGCTCACTACATAGCTGGTGATAAATTAGCTTGTTCGGTTCGTTCCTGGCTGAGATGGTTTTAATGAAGCCAGATTCCTTTGTGTTTGCTCGGTGGCCAGGGGCGGCAGGGGTAATTGAGTAGAAAGGGTGTTTTCTCCCCTTGTTTCCCCACAATCCCAGGGACACGGCATGGGGTCAGCAGGCTGAGGGGACGGTCATTATCCTGGACACACTGTGAGAGACAGGAGGAGCCGGTGGGCTGCCGGACTCACAGGTCACTGTATTCAAACTGCAAGGGGGGGCCGGATAGATAACTGGGTTTAATTCCGTCCGGTGTGTCATCTTTGTTGCTATATTTGCTTTTTTATGTTATTTTTACACAGCTGTTAACTCACTTACACAGTTGAAGGTTCCTTGAACATGGCCTTGGTTGAGTTTTATGAGTGTCTGTTAGCCAAAGGGTATGCAAACTGTTTGTGTAGTCCACCCCTCTTTTATGAGTTTGAGTTTGATTTTCAGGAACGAGCTATTCTGATTCTTTCTTCTTTGCTTACTTTTATAGTTTTCTTGAAGATATGGAAACCAGGAAGTAAGGAAGAATCCATTCTCAAAGCATTTACTCCTCACGAGTTGCTGCTTGCTAGGTTCACAGTTGACAGTGATTACAGCTTTGAGTCCTCTTAGATATGTCATTAATCCTTTTTGTAAGGTAAATCTGAATATTCTAGGCTTTCATGTTCCCCACCTTGAGTCGGTATACATTCCACAAGCACTGTAATTAAAGCTTCTGGAGTCTTCTTAGATAGATCCTAAAAACGGATGATCACATTTAGGAATGTAGGGTTTCTTTCTTTATTGTATCTTGGAGTTTCAATCAAACGCAGTGGAAGACTTCCGGTATGAGGTGTGCTGAGTAGACGCGTGCTCGACTGGCTCTAACTTTCCCACTCTTATTTACCTTTTAAACGTCGTCTTTTTTCAACATAATTTGTTTGCAACAGTTTTATAAGCCAGTGTTAACTACAAAGACCTCCGGCAATGTCGAAAGGAAAGGGAAAACAAGCTGCAAAGGGTCTCCGTCAGCGTCGACTCCTAGCATAACTCCAGCTTCGACTCCTAGCATAACTTTGGCTGACATTAGCTTGCTGCTGGATGAACATAGAGCAGCTCTCACGGCTGATTTCAAATCCTCATTCGAGTCTCTGACATCTATCCTGGACAGCATACACTCTACTATCACAGACCCACGGGCAGCGTATAAATTCTCTGGAAGCTAATGCTACTGAAGTCGACCAACGTCTCCAGCAACTTGAGGACGCATGCTCCGCTCTGAAGGGGAACAACGAGACACTCAAAACTAAGGTAGCGGACTTGGAGGGACGCAGCAGACGCCAAAATCTTCGGATTATTGGCCTACCTGAATCTATCGAAGGTCCCCGCCCGTCTGCCTTCTTCTCTCAATTCCTCGTTGATACCCTCGGCGCGGAGATTCTTGCTTCGCCCCCCGAGCTTGACCGAGCTCACCGGAGCCTCGCGCCCAAGCCTGCCCCAGGAGGGAGACCGAGACCTGTCATCCTGCGCTTCCAAATTAAGGACCTAGTGATCCGTGAGGCCCGCAGGCAGGGTGAGCTGAACTACAAAGGCCATAAGATCCGCTTGTATGATGACTACAGCCCCGACGTGTTAAAGCCGCGCGCCGAGTACAGAAGCCCCATGGCTGAGCTGTACAAGCGCGGGTACAAGCCGGCTCTCCTCTTCCCAGCCAAGCTGCGCATCACCCTGCCTAACGGTGACCGGACCGAGAATTGTTTGTCCAATGTTTTTTCAGTTAGTTTTTTTATTATATTGTTTAATTTATGTTTTCTTATCCTTTGCCTGTGGGCTGCTTCTACACATAATATATTAAACTCGGTCTCACGCCACACCTTTTCTCTCCCTGTTGCTTGTCAGCAGGCGGGGGGTGCCAGGTATGGGGACAGGGACATGCAGG